CCATTGTGGAGGGTATGCAGTGCCATTAGGAAACCTTGACTGAATTATAACCTTTTGTTCTTCTAAGGCATCTTTTTTTTTCTATCTGCAACAAGGTTTTATTTTGACCCAATCGTGAGCATAAAAAGCATAAGAGATACAAATGCACTTAGTGATAGATTTGTTTTCTTTTGGAAAATGTGCTACATTGTGATGCTGGGAAAACAGCTATTAATTTGAGGGTTGTTTCAAAGCTAATGGGTAATTATTATTCTGTGGAATATTTTTTTTTTCCAATGAAAAGTTTAGTTTGCTGAATGGTCCCTTTCTGTTTGCAGCGCTGATGTTTCTCTTCCCCTGCATTAACATGTTACCATTCAGAACAAATGGCTCTGCTTTGGGCTTTGAATTTTTCTTCCACATTTTTGACAATTGTTTTTTATGTCTGGTATAAATCACTGCAACACATGATAAAGTCAAGCACATTCAAAGCCTGTGAATAGTTAAGTTACTGTTTCTCCTTTGTGCAATAGTCCATAACCATATTTTAAAGCAGTTACAGTCTTTTATCAAGCACATGTATTGGCAGATTTTTGTAACTGGATTACTGAGCATACTCTAACTCTTAGGCGGCTCTCACAGACTATCATGTAAATCCTTCTTAATTCACAGTTTATTGACCACAGTGGTTCTGGATGAGTGTCTGATGCCAATTCCCTGCCATAGGCAGCATGCCACCTGCTACCATATCACCAAGGAAATTTCCAAAATTCCTCTTGAAAAACCGATCTGTGTGTTGCAGACCATCACCACTTCCATAGGCAAGCCAAACCGGAGAGGTCATGCTGTTTGCAGTGGGCTGATGGATGGAATAGCCCACAGCCTAGCAGAGAGAAGCCCCTTAATCCTCCTGGCAACCCACAAGCTGATGGGAAAAGCCTCAGTCTTGTGTGGGCCAAGGGAGCAGGAGCACCCCACCCCCGTGAGCCAGGGGGGTCAGGTCCTGGGGAGACTGGAGGTGACACTCAGCATTCAGGGATATTTGTGCCTGAAGCCACCCATGTCTGCAAACGTCCTGGGTGTCCCAAATCAGCACATAGCAGCACCCTGGACACCATTTGTTCAGTGCGATCTGCAGTCAGTGTGGGTGGAAGGGGTTTATTTTGCTCATTTTATGGGCTGATTTATGGCTCGTTTACTTGGATGCCTCACCCACATTGCTAATGTTGTAATTAAACCTTGTTAAAGTGTTCACACACACCCCCCTACCTCAGGCATGTGGTGTAACTTTTTTTTCCCCCTGAACAATGATTACTATATGGGGGAAGATGCTGTGTGGTGAGGAAGGGTGTCAGGCAGGCTTGAGTGTAATAAATACATATTTAGCAGGCAGAGGATGTTTAGTCCTAAATCAAATTGTGTATTAAAAGTGGAAGTTGCTGAGATTGGTGTTTACCTGTGAAACCAAAATTGCTTCGTGAAGAAAATAATTATAGACAAGGGCTCTCTAAAAAAAACAGTTGTGAGTCTTTATTAAATAGTTAAAATCAAGATGCTGCTGTGAAGTGCAGCATCAGCACATCCTGCGTGGGTCGGCTTGGGGGATCTCTGGGGCAGAAGCACACCTCACATTCTTCTGAGGTATTGCAGTGCCTTCCAAGTTTAAGGTCCTCCAGGAGATAACAAACCCCATCAAGTAATATTCAGTCAGGTGAAACGGCACAAAGGAGGAATTGTATTACTGGAAAGGTTGATGAGTTCAAGGAATTAGCGGAGAAAAATGAATATTATTTTAATAATACTTTATTACCTGTAAAGAGGCACCAAACACCCTAACGAGCAAGTACAGAAGCACAGTGCTTACCCATGGCAGAAGCCCTTGCCCTTATTTTAAAGCAGCTTCAGTTCAACTTAACTGGGTGCTGGATTTGCTCAGGGACGTCCCTTACGAGGCAGACCCAGCAGTTACTGCCAGGAGAGAGTAGCTACAAATCGGTGTCTCTGTAGATACTTACAGAGTGATGGGGGAGTGCCTGGCAGCCTGTGAAGCACCAGAGAGGAGGCGTTGGTGGCCGGGGGACAGCACTGATGGCCCCACAGCAGCACAAAGCCCCACCATGCCATGCCAAGGCATATTCAAGGTTCTCACAGGGCCAGGGAGCTGCTCGCCATTGCCTAAACCTCCTGAAGTCCTGTGGACACAGAGCCAGGAGCAGGATGGCCCTTTCCTGTAACTCTCCTCCAGCAGCACGTTATGAGACAACTCTTCCAGGACTGGTCTCCTTGTACTCAAACTTTATGGCCGAGGCAGAGTGGAAGGCTCACCCACAACTGCTTGGATGTGGACTTGCCTTAGTCAACCCTGTCCAAAAGCAGAATCTTTCGTGAAATGGCTGGTGTACCTCCTGGAAGAGTGGCTTAAAGCCAGGAGAGTCACTCAAAGGACAAAGATGTTGACAAGCCCTGGGGAAATGGTTTGGTCTGAACCTGGCATGCTGTGTGTTGGGGTACCCGTGCAGTCACAGCCAGCAGTGTCAGAGCAAACAGTGCTGCTCCCCAACCCATCACAATGTGCTGGGACATCAGTTATTCACTGTCAGCTTGGCAGTGTCTTAGAAGTTATGTTATTTGGGAAAGAATTGTTGAGGTGTTAAAAAAAAACACAGCAGCTCACCACAGTGCATGATGCGTAAGGGGCTCGGATTTCATGAGCTGAAAAAATATGAGTGGCTTTAATCCAGATTAGCACTTTCACCTCCTGAGGATGACAGAGCTGTGGTGAGGGACCTCTGTCAGCCCAAAGGCCTTGACTCTGGTATGGCAGGGACAGTTTGCCTCAGGATCTGCACCACTCCTGCATGCAGCTCCTGGATGGATATTCCATGACTGTCAGAGTCCAACGGCACTTAATGTCACCAGGGCCAAAGTGCTACTGCCACATACACTTTTGCAATTAATTGGCAATACTCGGTGGTGAATGATGGATGGTGAGGTGAGAGGGCAGGTTCCTGCTCTGAGGTGGGGTGTGGTAACACACTGCCATTGCCATCTGTGTGCACACAGGTCCCTGCACAGGGATGTCCATCCCCAGCACACCGTGCTGCTGGGACTGGGCAGAGGAAAACAGGGGTGGACAGGGGCCACGTGGGAGAGCCTGGACACACATGAGGGGTTCCTGCTGTCCTCAGTGAGTTGCTGGTCACCTGCAGTGTCACATAGTTCCCCCCATGCATCAAAGGTCCTGGAATACCCAGCCCAGAGCTGCCTTCTGGTGGGGTGATACCGAAGGGGCCAGAGGTAAACATTTGCCCTGCTGTGAGGCTCCCAGACACGAACCCAGGGCACTGTGTCCTGAGAAGCAATGACAGATGCTGTTCAGAAGGACGTGTTTTATAAAAGAGTCCTTACAGCAACAGACCCTTCCCCTGCTCTGTGCACGCTTACAGCAAGGCTGGGACTCTGCGCTCAAGCCCGTGCAAACGATCGAGAATACTCCACCCCTGCACTGAAACAGCTTCATCCTGCCTGTGGGTGTCTGCTGGAGGTGAGGGCCTGGCAGCTATTGTGCCATTGATACATCACTCTACAGTGCCCTGA